AGCAGGAGAAATAATACAGGAGTCTAAACACAAAGGACTGTTACACAAGATGGGATTTACTCAAAGCCAAAGTAGGAAATCTGCATGCTGTGGCATAAAGTGAAAAATTAATTTTTAGAGGGTGATTTCATCAGTGGTAGTTCCAAAATTTTTGTGTAGGATTAGAGGCAGCGATCCTGTTGGAAGGGTGGGGGTGGCCCAAGGATTTTTGTCTTCAATTTCCACTTATTTAAAAAGCACAGTTTTCATTTAGATATTATGTTTATTGAGATGTCTTTGTATTGCTGTCAAACATTATGAGGAGTGTTTTCTAACCCTTTATCTATCCTTTGGTGCAGTCGTAGGATTAAAAGAAAAAGTGGCATTTGAGCAGAGTCTTAAAAGATGTCTGGAATAGCGACAGTCCTAAACACACTTTCTTGGAGAGGGACCAGCATTTGCAAAGATACATAGAGGCTGAAGATGTAGGTCATTCTTAGGGAAAGAAATGATCCTTAGCTAGAGTGAAGAATATGGAGGAGAGGTGGGTAGAAGGGAGAGAGTTGTCTGGGGGAGATGAATTAGGTTGTAGCCAAATCGCGGAGACCTTGCCTGCCTGCAAGAGCCATAATTAATTAGATTGATCCAATCATGTTTCTTCCTTGTTTTGTCATCACTAATTTGAATTGAAAACATTGCAGTAGAAGAAAAATTCCAGGAAAATTTGTGTTTCTAAATGGAATTTTTGATACTCCTTGTTTTTCTGTGTAAGTCTTTTGGCCACTGGAAGAGAATTGTCAGGACCGTTAACTTGGCCTTTGGGAAACTCATAGTATTTAATTACATTTCTTGGGTTTATTTAATATGACCAAGTTTAGATGAAAGAATGTGTTCGCTGTCTATTTTGTGGAGTATTCACAGAATTTTGCCATGACTTGCACATCAATATTTATAGATTTGTTTAAAAATCTGCCATGTCATTATTAAAGTCAGCACAGAGTTACACTCTCAAGGATTAAGAGAACTTTCTAAAAGTGAGATTTTTCAGCTTCATTGACTTCAGAGTAACTGGTGGTACATGAACACTGCAAATTATCACAGATTTACCCAGATCAGGTACTTGCAGTGGACGACTGAGCCTTGATTCTTTCCTGCCTCTTTCTTGCTGGAAGAAAAAAGTAAGTTATAGTTACTTTTCTACAGGGTGCCATAAATATTTAGGGATGTTACAATTCTGGTGTCCTTTAACTGTTTTTAGACTCGTAAATTTACATTCTTCCCTGAAAGGCCCTATGGAAGTGAAAGTAACTTGCATTTAAATATTGAATATTCAATCAATAAACAACAGTAATGTTTAAAAAGGAAATGCAAGACAGCCTTACAATAGTGATTTTCTTTTAGTCACTGCATGGCAGGTAAGAATAAAGTAGAGCTCCTATTAGTGAACAAAGGTCAACAAGGTTGGGTTATTATTGAATTATTGTATCAGAGTGGAAAACTTGTAGTGCTGAGATTTGGCATAGGATATTACCTTATATCCAGCTTCAATCTACAGGTCAATCATCTAGTGAGCTCTTTAGGGAATTCAAAAGCAGTGTGACATGTGATTTTTTGTGTGTGGGGGGGAGTTTACCATCCAGAGATTACATTAATGATCAGAATAGCTACTACCATTTAGCAAGTGCTTACTTTGTGTCAGCTAGCTAACAAAGCACTATGTGGCTTCATTTCTTTAATCCTCACCGGAACTCCTTGAGGTAGGACAATCATCATCTTTATTTTACTGGTGAGAAATCAGACCCAGTGAGGTTTAATAACTGCCCAAGGGTTTATGGGTAATAAGTGGTAGAATCTACCACTTGACTCCAGAAATCCAAAACTGGGCCAGTGCTCTTCCCCATTACTGGATATTGCCTCCCAAAAAGATGCATGTGACACATGCAAACAGGTAGAAGCAATGTACAGCTTGAGAAACATTTGTTTCCCAAAGATCATTTATAAATGTATTGTTTGGAGTGCCAAATCTCATAGCAGCTATGTGATACCTAGTAGTTTTTTTGTTTTGGTTTGGTTGTGTGTGTGTGTGTGTGTGTGTGTGTGTGTGTGTTTTGTTTGTTTATTTTGAGGGTCTACATTCCAAAAGCCTAACTACTTAACAACAGGAATGTTTGTGGTTAAGGATATAAACATTGGCTTCAGACACTAGGGGGTCATTCCCAACTCTGTCACTAGCCACATAGCCTTGAGCACAGTCCTTCTTCTGAAACTAGGACCTCAGGGGTTAATGATACCTAATAAAGGGTAAGGAACATATAAAATAATGGGTGTCAAGTGCTTGGTAATATGCTTGACACATGAAAAGAGACAGATATTTTAGCTAATTAACTGTTGGTCCTGAGAATAGGGGACCAACTTCCTTGTTACCTTTTATTTCTTTATTGAAATTGAAACCATGTTTTATTCTTTTATATAGTACCAATATATGATTATTGAAGAAAAATTAGTAAATTAAGTTAGCAGTAACATTTAAATTGCCATTTAACCTGATAATCAATCACATTAGTTATAAGAATGATAATCCTTCCAATTTTATATATTTTTTCATTTTCACAAAACATGAAGTCATTTTGCCTAATGCTATTTGGTAGACTTCTTTTTAAACCTAAATTAGTATAGTGAACATTTCCTCCACTTTATTAAATAGTCCATAACATCTTTTTTTTTTTTTTTCCCCTTATAGTGTAGTAGTCTTTGGTATGGGTGTATCATAAATTTACCTTGTTGTTTCTTATTGGGCATTTAAATGTTTACAACTTTTTTCCATTATGAAAAATGCTGAAGTTTAGAGAAACCTTATAGGTAAAAAAAAAATGTGCACATGTTTTATTTGTAATCTAAATTATCGAGAATAGAATCAGATGACCAAACAGCATTCAAATTGTAATCAGTTTTGATATTTCCTGCCAAATTACCTTTAATAACAGTTGGACCAATTTATAGCTCTGCCAGCAGTGTGTAAGAATATTCATTTTTCTGAATCATCATCAACAGTAGATAGTTCCATAGTTGCCAGCCTGATAGGTAAAATACTATCTATCATTTTAATTTTGGTTTTTATTATTAATGATGTTAGATTTTTTTTTCATAATCTTAATGGCTAATTTTATAATTATTTTGTGACTTAATTTATTTAAATTATACTTAACTTTTCTCTTGAGATAGTTGTCTTTTTTTTTTTTTAATATTTTTTATTTATTTATTTGACACAGATATCACAAGTAGGCAGAGAGGCAGGCAGAGAGAGAAAGGGGGAAGCAGGCTCCCCGGTGAGCAGAGAGCCCGATGTGGGGCTCGATCCCAGGAACCTGGGATCATGACCTGAGCTGAAGGCAGAGGCTTAACCCACTGAGCCACCCAGGCGCCCCAGTTGTCTTTTTTTTAATTACTGAGTCAAAGCTGCTAAATATAAACCAAGGCACTTAATGTTTGTCTCATATATTAAAAATATACATATATATTTTTTTCAGGTTGTTTTGTTAGCATGTTTTCATCCATGTTGTAGTATGTATCATGATTTTATGCTGAACAATAGTCCGTTGTATATAATACTGCATTTTGTGTATCCCTTCAACTATTTATATAGTTGATAGAGCATGCAACTCTTGATCTTGGACTTATAAATTCCAGCCCCAGGTTGGGTGTAGAGATTACTTAAAAAAAAAAAAAAAGCTTATACTTCTGGAAGAACTTTAGAATCATTTTCTCAGTGTCTTTTTTTTTTAAATTTTAAAGATTTTCTTTATTTTTGCAGGAGAGAGAGCATGCATGAGAAGGGGGCAGGGAGCAGGGGTTGGGCTTGGGGAGGGGCAGAGGGAGAAGCAGACTCCCCACTGAGCAGGAGCCCCATGCAGGACCAGATTCAATCCCCAGCACCCTGGGATCATGACCTGAGCTGAAGGCAGGTGCTTAACCAACAGACAACAGTCTGAATTGTCCCTAAGGGAAAACAGTCTGAATTGTCCCTAAGTTGCGAATGTTAGATGCCTCTTAGTAGGAATATGTATTTTAGCGGGTGCATGGGTGGCTCAGTGGGTTAAAGCCTCTGCCTTCGGCTCAGGTCATGATCCTGGGGTCCTGGGATCGAGCCCCACATCGAGCCCCACATCGGGCTCTCTGCTCAGCAGGGAGCCTGCTTCCCCTTCTCTCTCTGCCTGCTTCTCTGCCAACTTGTGATCTCTGTCAAATAAATAAATAAAATCTTTAAAAAAAAAGAATGTGTATTTTAGGAAAAGGATTCTTTTTTAAAGGTTTGATTTATTTATTTGAGAGAGAGAGAGAGAATGAGAGCGAGCAAGCGTGAGAGGGGGAAGGTCAGAGGGAGAAGCAGACTCCCTGCTGAGCAGGGAGTCTGATGTGGGACTCAGTCCTGGGACTCCAGGATCATGACCTGAACTAAAGGCAGTTGCTCAACCAACTGGGCCACCCAGGCACTCTGGGAAAAGGATGTTTGCAGGCTTAAATGATTTGCTAGTTTTTTCAAATTCTTAGTCTATAGAGGGTTAATGTATTTTTGGCTTGAGGGCCAGCACCTTGAGTCTGCCTGCCCATCCAAGCTACCTGAAGGCATTTTTGTTTTGTCACATATTATTTCTGTCCTTGCTGATGGACCCATTAATTTTCTTTCTTTTTGGAGTTCCTGCCGTAGTAATGACATTACTGAGCCCGTTAATTGTGGAAATGTTGGAGGTAGTGTGTGTGTCTGATTGGCAGGGGTAGGTATAAATCAGGTACCATTTTAAAATAGAGACTTAATGTAAATAATGCTAAAATGCTAAACTGTGGATGCTAGTCCACAGGTCAGGGATGGAAAAGAGAAATGAGACTGGCATGTTATGAGAAAACTCCATGGGTGTTTAAGAATAATTTATTTGAAAAAGTTATGTTTCTTCTATTCTTTGCAGAGGTACAGACAAGCTCCTGGAAGAAAGAAACTACAGATGACCCTGAAACAACATGGGTTTCAATGATGTAGATCCATTTATGTATGGATTATTTTTTATGCATATGGTATAGTACTGTAAGTATATTTTCTCTTTCTTTTGATTTTTATTTTTTTTAAAGATTTTATTTATTTATTTGACAGACAGAGATCACAAGTAGGCAGAGAGGCAGGCAGAGAGAGAGGAGGAAGCAGGCTCCCCGCGGAGCAGAGAGCCTGATGTAGGGCTCGATCCCAGGACCCTGGGATCATGACCTGAGCTGAAGGCAGAGGCTTTAACCCACTGAGCCACCCAGGTGCCCCTCTTTTGATTTTTATAATGTTTTCTTTTCTCTAGCTTACTTTATTATAAGAATAGAGTATATAATACATATACAAAATTTGTGCTAATTGTTATTGGTAAGGTTTCTGGTCAACATTAGGCTACTAGTTTTTATGTTCTTGGACAGTCAAAACTTATATGCAAATTTTTACTATGTAAGGGTTAGCACCCCTAGCCCCTATGTTGATCAAGTGTCAACTGTATTAGATTGGTGGTGTTTATTCTTCCCTGTTTTATGTATAATGGAAAGAGCAATGGCTTAGGAATCATGTGGACTTTGGAATCATACAGACTTAAGTTCTTGGCTCTGTCACTTAGTAGCCTGTGTTATCCTAGCCATATTAATTTTTCTTCTAAGACTTAGTTTTAGCTGTAAAATATACATCACTCAGTTGTTTTAAAGATCAAATAAGATAAATAACATGAAATCTCCTAGCAATATATATAGTCCATTGTATTCTCAATGAAGGTCAGTTTCCTTTTTCTTCTTCCCTAAATAACAACAAAAATAGTCTGTATGGGGAAATGCATTTGTACCACTGAAACTGAATGTCAACTCTTCTTGGTTAATGGGTGAATAAAGATAATGTCTGAATTTTTCAAAATGTGTCAATTTTCCTATATATAGCTTTCATTTCACGCCATGCTAAATTATGGTTCTTGCAAATCTCCTTGAACTTTATCATTACAAAGCACACTGTAAGCAGGATGGAATTAATATTATCCCTGGTCTATAAAGTATGGTACCTGCATTCTTAGTGATTGACAGGATACATGTGTGTACTGTTGTTGTCGCCAAGGGACATATTCTTGCCTGAGTCCCACAGCAGTGTTTTACCACCTGTAACTGTGCTGAATGAAAATGGTCCCATCAATCATTTCTGTAGCTTTTCCTCATAGAAGCAGTCTTGATAAGGATAAAAAATCCAGGACATCACAGTATCAACAATCCTTTCCTCTTCAAAGGCATCTTTCAGACAAGGCTCTAACAGTCCCTTAAAACCATTAATTATATAAATCTTATACACTATTGCTTTGTGGGAGGTGAAATATTTAGTAAAAATGCTCATCCGAACAGAGGTTGTCTGTGTGGGGGCAGGATAGAAATATGAAAAGTGGGAAGTGGGTGCTCAACATGCATTCATTGCTGATACAAGGTCAACTGTGTGCTTGGCTAGTCCTCTGCACACTTCTGCTAGGTTTTCAACTAATGTATGAAATACAGGCTATTCTTTGTTAGAAATTTGTTAGTGGTATGAACTACTTGAATACTAAAGATCTTAATTCTTAAGGTTAATTCTGCATACTGCATACCCAATGGCACCCTTAGGTCATATGATGAAGAAGCAATTGAAGGTTGAGCTCAGATTGAGTCAGAATGGCTCAATCTGACTCCTGTAGGGAATTAAATGGCAAATGAGAAACTTGCAGGCCCTTCGTCAGAGTGGTAGAGAATGATTTAGTAGAGAAGTGAGTTTTAAATTTATCAGCAGCAGTGTATAGGATTTATATGATTTATGTGTTAGTGTCTACATTTTTTTGTTTTGTTTCATTTTTGTTTTATCTTACGATTATTGTTCCCAATCTGGGGCCCTTTTTTCACCAGTGAGTCACGATAATAGTCACGAATATTTTTTTTGGAAAAAAAGTCATTATTTTTAAAAGCCCAGAAAGATCACATACATACTATTTATTTTAATCTTTAATAATGCTTTTTAGGCATTATTTTTATTGAATAACATTTTTATTTACATCACAATAATATATTTATATCACAATGATTATATCACAATGATTTATATCACAAAAAATCTCTCTATATAGATATTTATATCACAATGATAAATAATATATTTATTTATATCACAAAGACTCTGGATATCACTAATAAAAATGTCACTTGTCTTCAAAGTTTCAGTACTTAAACTGTCTTCAGAGTTTCATTTTTTACCTTTTAGGATTTCTTAACATGTATGTCATTTTTTAACCTCTTAGGATTTCTAATAATTTATGTGTTTTTGATTAATCTTTAAAATGGAAAGACAAATAAATAGTTTTGTTGTTTGTTTGATAGGTAATTTTTTTTTTTTTTGTAATGTAGAATTTGTGTAGAAATAGTAAAGAGATCCTTGGTGTCTAGAATCTAGCACAGCACCTGATACACATAAGTAGTTTTTAAAAGAATCAAAACTATTGTTGTAAACCATTTCCCTTGGTTGAAATCTTTGCTAATTTGATTCTTTGTTTCTGATAAACTCATTATTTCTACATTTCATAAATATAATTTAAAATAGAAGGATTATTTTCTCTGATGAAAATCATATACTTTCACATAGTTATTCTTGTCCAGAAAATAGAATAGCTACTCTGACAGTTGATGATAACTACCTGGAGTGAACACTAATTATCTTTCGAGTACCTATTTACCCTTTGCCCCCCAAGTGACAATACTCCAATTTTCCTTTGAAGAGCCACCCCATCACCAGGTCATAGCCATTAGCTGAGGTGAGATTGAACTGACTCAAGTCCAGGGGTACACCCTGAATTGGGATAGACCAACCAATCAGAACATGCCCCTTGTGCTTGCTCTAGGATTATGTATGCCCAGACTGCTGGGATTGATCAACCAGGGAGCACACTGAGATGTGAGAACACATGAAACCCTCCTTCCTGGGAGGCTGTTTTGGAATTCTGAAGGATGCTTGAAGATGGCATTATAAAGAAGGGCAAAACCAAGGAAATTGTAGACAAAGAGAGCCATGTCCCTGACTGAGCTATACCCGAAACCAGTCTTAACACTGAATCTTACTGTTTTATGAGCCATTGGGTCCGTTTTGTTTTTAAGCCAGTTTGTATGTGGTTGCCTTTGCTTTGCAAGGGGAAGAAAACCTTAATGGATATATAGCTTCATCCTAATCATATTATTTTTTTTAAAGGTTTTATTTATTTATTTGACAGACAGAGATCACAAGGAGGCAGAGAGGGAGGCAGAGAGAGAGGGGAAAGCAGGTTCCCCACTGAGCAGAAAGCCCGATGCTGGGCTCCATCCCAGGACCCTGAGATCATGACCTGAGCCGAAGGCAGAAGCTTTAACCCACTGAGCCGCCCGGGTGCCCCTAATCATATTCTTTTACAGGAACTGTTAAAAAAATATTGGATTCTCCACAAGATATTTTGATTACGTTTTTGCTTTTAGAGAGACACAACTAATTCCAAAATCACAAGTTTCCTCTGATTAGAATACAAACATACATTTATGTGTTTTAAATAATAAAACCCATAGCAAAACAGGTTGAAGTTTATGAGAAACTCCTAAATATTCCATACTTTTCCCCCCCACAAGTACCCAAGATATTATGGGTTTTTGCATGGCACAATCAATTCATCTATCTTTACACACACCTGATATCTATTATTATACCTTTAAGGCACTGTTCGTTAGAAAAAAATCTATTTTGAAGGAAGTTAGAAAACAAGTCATTGTTAACAAAAAGTCCATTTAGGTAACCTTTGCAGAGTTGGTGTTTTTTCATGCCAACAAGTCTTTTTGCTTTATATTCTGCCTTGGTTTCTGTCATTGTTCATTTCAAAACCTCCCCAAGTCAGACTTTCCACGAAGAGTCATCCAGTACAGAATATATTTGGAATTCGGCTTCTCATGACCTAGTTGTATCACAAGAGGGATCAAAGAGGTTTTGTTCTGTTTCTATAATCAGCCATTTCTTTGAGAGGACAGATTCATAAGAGTTTGAATTATGCTTAGAAATGCATACAAGGCAAGCAGCTACATGGCATTTTAATTACCTCCCTCCACGCCAATGAAAAACAACATGAGGCACAAACAGACGTCTCAGGTTAAATTCAGTTGATTCACTTAACATACCAAATAATTTGATTGTTTCTTTTCTCCCTGGTCTTTTTCTTTTCTTTCTTTCTTTCTTTCTTTCTTTTTTTTTTTTTTAATTTTAGTCTGTTTGCTCTCCTAGCTCTTCCTTTTTATTTCTGAAGCACTCACCTTTTGCTAATGTTAAGAAAATTCCTACTGGACAAATTCTTCTCCTTGCTAGACTCTCCATGACATAGTATTAATATTCACAAAGGGAACAGATGGCTGCCTTTGGAATCCACCAATAATAGTAGTACCTTGCTTAGTCCGAATTGACTAATTAAAATCCTCAATTAACTAGAATGGAAAATTCAGCATGTACAACCCCTATGGTGACGTCATGTTATAGCAAGTTTGCAAATGAGTGTTTAGACTTCTTTCCCTGCCTTTTAAGGGGACAAAAACAAAAGGCAAGGAAACAGACTCATCTAAGGGATTTATGAAAATGCTGAGGAAACTCAAACCCTGATATCCATGGCATCAGTATGCAGTATACATCTAACCAAATTTCCCATATTTTTCAAAATAAATATCTATAATTTTGTTCTTTTTAATCATCACTGAAATTCAGATTAATCAATATTTTGAGATTTTCATTTCTATATTCAATTTGATGAGCATTTACTGAACCTCCATAGTACTCAAAATACTATGCTGTTGGGGGCACCTGGGTGGGTAGGTCGGTTAAGCATCTGCCTTTGGCTCAGGTAATGATCTCAGGGTCCTGGGGATCAAGCCCCACGTTGGGCTCCCTGCCCAGTGGGGAGCCTGCTTCTCCCTGTCCTTCCCGCTCCTGCTCTCTCAGTCTCTCTCTCTCTCTCTCAAATAAGTAAATAAATAAAATCTTAAAAAAAAACCAAAAAACTATGC